ATGAAGCCAAAAAGCTCTAGTTCCGCAGTATAAAATTAAACGGATGTTCGCCGGTGCTCCCACATCATTTGGCCCATAGAGCAGGCACACTAGAGACTACTGCTGGCTGAGCCAGATACTTCTGTTTTAGCACTCTGCTAACTTGCTCTTATAGACTTTGGAAATGTTTATGGACAGACTTAATGAAATTCTGATATTGAAACAAGTCATTTTGTGGGGGTCGTGACGTATGTATCCACTGATTTACAGACGTCTCTTTCCCAATGTGAGTCTGTCGGAAAAGTCTTTTTAGGCCCGCTTGCATCACATGATGGACTCAGCAGTTGTAATTCCACTGTCTGCCCACTATGAAAATTGGCTTCAAAGCCTAGTGACTATGTGGAAACCTGATATAAAGATGCATGACATGACAGCTCCCCAAAAGTGAAGCCAAAGCATTTCCGTCGGCCCCTGGTGGCTTGAGTGGTTCGCAGATGGGACACGGGCAAAACTACAAAATTAAAGTACACATCAAATACATTTTTCCTACAGATGGTTTCTGTTATTTAAAGTGATAGTTCAGGTTTTTGGACATGAAGCTGAGTGAAACGCTGACCATCTGTAGCTCTGATGTGACGGTGTCACTACTCTCAACGAGCCTGCTCTGAGAAATCGCCCGTAGCTTACCGGAGAAAAAGTAGTTCTGAAGATGTACGGGGGACACGTAACCAAAAGGTTTTAAGCTACAAAAAAGTATGCATGTGTTTTGTTAGACTATTTCAATAATTTTAAAACATCCCCGCATTACGTCAGACCTTGCTATCAATTGGGACTATTTTCTGGCCAGTATCACTCCGCTGTGCAGCACGGCAACACAAATCAATAAGACAGTTCATCACCACGCCGTGCAGGTGCGCAGGATAGCAGCGGCTAACGAAAACTTCATCGGCTGTTTCCAACAGAGAACCAGTAGGCTATTATTAGTGAGGAAAAAGATAGTAGTAGCACTAGCCCTATATATACCTACTACTACAGCGCGAACAGCTGCTGTAGGTAAACAGAGGAATACCAAAATGGTGCAAACTTGTGATTTCCCCAGCTGTGGGAATAAAAACATCGCCAGCTCCCAATTCCATCGGTTTCCTGTTACAGATGTAACTCATAGGCAACTTTGGCTAACCCACCACCAGAACAAAGCAGAGACTGGTCGTAATCACATATGAATTCACATTTCTATGTGATTGATTACTCATGTCATGGATTTAGCAGTTCGCCTAATATAATAAACTAAATGCCGATGGTAAAACGTGGCCGCGTATAATGTACTCTCCACAACACAACAGGCTATTAGTTCTATCAAACATTTTGTTTTATAGACAATCAGCTGCAGACATCGTTATATAGACTGGTATTAGGTAATATATCTCTCTTTGGGCACAGCAGTGCGGAAATTGCGTTTTCTCTGTCCATCGGTATCTGTGGGCAGCTGAAGTGAGCCTGACATACGCGCAGTTGCTTCACCCTCGCCAGCTTGGTAGCGAGGTTCATCCCAATTGACACAAGCCAAAGTTGCCTACAGGTTACATCTGTAACAGGAAACCGATGGAATTGGGAGCTGGCGATGTTTTTATTCCCACAGCTGGGGAAATCACAAGTTTGCAGCATTTTGGTATTCCTCTGTTTACCTACAGCAGCTGACGAGGGTGTGTCGTGAGCCTGAGCCGGTGTTTGCGCTGTAGTAGTAGGTATATATAGGGCTAGTACATCTTTTTCCTCACTAATAATAGCCTACTGGTTCTCTGACAATTCAGACAAGACTGAAGTCATCGTATTTGGTCCACAGAAACAAAGAGAAAGTGTCAGCAGTCACCTCCAGTCTCTCTCTCTAAAACCTACAAATCAGGTTAGAAATCTCGGGGTAATAATGGACTCAGACTTGAACTTTAACAGCCACATCAAATCAATAACATCAGCAGCTTTTTACCATCTAAAAAACATTGCCAAAATCAAAGGTATAGTGTCTAAACCTGACTTGGAGAGACTGATCCATGCATGTGTCTCTAGTAGGTTAGACTACTGTAACGGCCTGCTCACTGGCCTCTCCAAACGGGCCGTAAGACAGCTGCAGTACATCCAGAATGCTGCTGCTCGGGTCCTGACCAGAACCAGGAAGTACGAGCACATTAGTCCTGTGCTCAGGTCTCTACACTGGCTTCCTGTGGCTCAGAGAATAGACTTTAAAGCAGCTCTGCTTGTGTACAAGTCTCTCCGCGGCCTAGCACCAAAGTACATCTCTGACATGTTAGTGCCATATGAACCATCTCGGACTCTGAGGACCTCAGGGATCGGCCTCGTGCTGGTGCCCAGAGTCAGGACTAAACATGGGGAATCAGGATTCCAGTTTTATGCAGCTAAAATCTGGAACATTCTTTCTGAAGATGTGAGACAGGCCTCTACTCTGACAATGTTCAAATCTAGGCTCAAAACAGCTCTATTTCACTGTGCATATGACTGAAAGGATCTTATCTGCACTCTTCTCTTTTAAAGTTCATTTTATAATGATTATTTATGTTTTTATTTTGTATTGTGATTTTAATGCATTTTCTTGTTCTGTAAAGCACTTTGAATTACTTTGTGTACGAATTGTGCTCTACAAATAAACTTGCCTTGCCTTGCCTTGCCCGTGGTGATGAACTGTCTTATTGATTTCTGTTGGCGTGCTGTCTTGCGGGCCTGCACGGCGGAGTGATACTGGCCAGAAAATAGTCCCAATTGATAGCAAGGTCTGATGTAATGCAGGGACGTTTTAAAATTATTGAAATAGTCTAACAAAACACATGCATACTTTTTTGTAGCTTAAAACCTTTTGGTTACGTGTCCCCCGTACATTTTCAGAACTACTTTTTCTCCGGTAAGCTACGGGCGATTTCTCAGAGCAGGAGGCTCGTTGAGAGTAGTGACACCGTCACATCAGAGCTACAGATGGTCAGCGTTTCACTCAACTTCATGTCCAAAAACCTGAACTATCACTTTAAGGTAGTTTCAATCACACTGATGTGTGCTCAAGTGTTTGTTTTTTTGATAAGTTTGGTTTTAATTAGTTATTTAATGCTATCAAAAGGCGGTGTGATGTCATGATTGACTGCTATGAATGCCAAGCTGAGTGCTCATGATCAGTGGCGCTGTCCACAGTTGGTTGGACAGACGTAAGGGCGGGAACTCAACACCAGGAAGTTCGCTACTGTGCAAACTCTGATTACAAATGATGTCACCATCGTAAGATGTCAGTGGCTGTATCCGGGATATTTAGCCTTTATTTTTGCAAAGTGGGATAAAGTGAAAATGTATCGCCAAACTTTATAAAATGGACAGGAAAATGCTTACATTTTACAATTATGTTACATAATTTTTTTAATTTTTAAGCACTATTTTCAGGTCTTTTTTTTTTTTTTTTTTTGAGCTGTATGAGTCCTGTGAACTAAAATGGGTTTTATAAACCCCTGCTCTAAACCATTGATGTTTACATATTGCTGTCTCTTATAAACATATTTACTAAGCCACTTCAGGATATGAACATGAGGAGCTTTCAGAGAAATAACAATTTTGTTCAATGGATAAAAAATCTAGATGAATATTTATCTCAAGTAATAATTTTAGCCATAATTGTGCTGCCTGTCCTTCAGCTGCCCCATGACCCTTTAAAAGGATTAAACAGAAAAATATAATGAATGGACAGCATGAATGAAAATTTCAGCTTGTAGGTTGTGTTTGCTTGCAGTATCCAATTTATAGAGAATAGGAAGCAAATGCTGCAAAGATGATGCAAATAGCAGCTGAGGTTTCAGTGGAGGGATGTTTACTTGAATACAAAACAACCTCCATGAAAAATTGGTAATAATAATTCCATTCAGACCTTGTTGGCACAGAGCTCTTCAGTACTGGTTGTTCTCTTAATTTTCTTTTCTATTTGCATGTATGTATTGTTGTGATCATATCCCACTGATTCCTAATGTTAGCCTGGATCACAGAGCAGTTTAGGAACTGCAGTAGGCAGAGGGCAGCAGCAGGAGAGCTTAGCATCCTCCTTGTGTCTATCATGGCTGTACTGATAATGAAATTCGATTACAACTTCCTCCCAGCCCGAGATCCTCTCTCACTTATCTCCAGTATACAGATGCTCCCTGTCCCGGGGGACGCATCCTTAACAGGGTTCCTCTCCACCGACCAACAGGAGCTCTGATACGTGATCCAAACTGTCAGCAGCTGCAGAATCCCCAAAATAGTGCCTAGTCTCTTTTTGTGGGACATGTCCTCATGTGATTATGAGCTGTGACGAGAGAGAGATTATATGATACTGATAATGTGGCCCATTTTGGAGAATGTGCCTCCATTCCAGATCTTCACGGTTCTGATCATGGTATCAGTAGAGAGGGGAGGGAGGATGACTGGAAATCATACTGATTCCCTTCACTGCACTGAACCACACACCAACATTTCCTTCAATTGAATAACTGAGCAGTGTTGTGCCATTTCTTTCATATCTGCTTTGTATGAGCCGTGCCTCTCCAATTGGATGCTCTTTAATTAACACTTTGATGGTGTCAGTTATATAGGAAAATAAACTCTGCAGGCATGACTTCCAAATCACCTTTATTTCCTTTATGTTTTGTTTTTTCTTTTGTCAGTTTAAAGAAGGTACACGTCTGTCTGTTGGCTTGACAGTCAGATTTATTACCACTGCAGATATGGCCATAAATGTCAGTCCATAAAGTGTGGTAAAACAGATAATGTCAAATAAATGGATTCATTTGTTGTTCTTCATGTTGAAATACCTAAGTGTGTTACATTCATTGGAGATTGTGTCAGAAAGTCAATTTCAGAGGACTAACAACAGACAAACTGTAATGGTGGCTGTGACTTTGAGCTGGTGAAGTTTTTCTTCTCAGACCAAGCATGGATGCTGAGAAATGCCGTCTGATTCAGGCCTTGATGCATTACGTGAATCTGTGTGTTTCTTGCAGGAGTTTTTTGAAAATCCAGCCTTCAGACCTGATGGTTTGAAGCTGTACCCAACACTGGTGATCCGAGGTACAGGTCTGTATGAGCTGTGGAAGACGGGCCGGTACAAGAGCTACACACCCAGCGCCCTGGTTGACCTGGTGGCCCGAATCCTGGCGCTGGTGCCACCCTGGACACGAGTCTACCGGGTGCAGAGGTGAGACAGCAGCCCTTTTTATACAGAGATGGTGCTATAGATGCTACAAAGTCCCTTCTTTTGCAGCCTTTGCATTTTTACACAGCACCAAACAACAGTGGCATCATGCTGCTCCAGTGTGTGATTTTAGAAAGCATGCAGGCATTGCGGACTCAAAAGAGGCGTGACGTGTAACATAACAGCCTTTAGGGTGTATAACATACACATAACATATGCATCATTAGCGCTTAATAAACAGTAGCAATGGCATTAACGTGGCAATAACAATCATTTACTGTCCTTATATGGATGCAGATCTTGTCCTCTGCTTGGAGAATAAGGAGCTCCTGGACCTGGCCACTGTTCTTCTTCTTCTTTGAGTTGGCTGCTAACTGCTACGAACTACTTTTTAAATGTCCCCGCAATGGGTTGTATGCATAACACGTCATCAAAACGTCACACCCATGCTGCCAATGACCCTGTCCTGTCAGCTGTCCCTTTTATATAGACATCATGGCGGTGCTGCAACTACCTCTGCTGCTGCCTTAAAGGCGAGACAACTCTGACCCCCATTCCACAATTGGGCCTTTTATACAGAACAGTGAGGCGGCATAACGGCATGAAATTCCCACCTTGAAGAGGCAGTGTAAAAGGGGCTAATGAATGGGCCTGATATTGATAGTGTGACCCAAGTGACTGTAGATTAAAGTCTTGTCATAGAGCAACTCCATACTTGAAGGTCTTAGTGACAGGAGTCCTCTGGATCGCTCTAACTTCTCTCTGACTTAGGGGCTAATATAAAGGGACAGTTCATCATATTCCACATATTTTTCCTGTTATCTGTAGGGCTGTTTATCAAAGTAGATAGTTTTGGTGTGAGTTGCAGAATGTTGGAGGTATCGACTGTAGAGTTGTCTGCCATCTGTCCAGTATAATGGAACTAGGCTATAATAGCACTCAGCTCATGGGGCTCAAAATGTAAAAAGAAAAATACATTTGAAAAACTCACCAGCAATGTGTCTTTCCAGAAATTATGACCTGATTATTCAAGATAATCCACAGTCCTTGTTGTGAGCAGTTCAAAGTAGGAACCAAACTATCAGTCTACCCACGAACAAGAGGGTTGTGCTTTTGACAGTGTGAAATGTTAACATTAATGGTATCCTCCATGCTTTTGAGACTGTACTGGGAGACACAGCCAACCTTCTTGCAACTGCACATATACTAGATGTGCCATCCTGGAGGAGCTGGACTACCTGTGCTGCTACCACCTCATGCTACCAGCAGTGACAAGGACACTAGCAGAACACAAAACTAGAGAAGAATCAATCAGGAAGGATGAAGAGAGAGCAACTGTCTGTGGCCACCACATGCAAAACCATTCCCTTAATGGGGGTTGTCTTGCTTTTGCCCCTATTTAAGTTTAACTGACTTGGTGTTATACTGTGATGAGTAAGCACTCCCTTAATTTTTTAAGCAATGTAGTAGTTACATTATATTGGAGAGAGGGCAGACATCTCTCCAGTTGATATCTCTAACACTCGACCAAAATTCATACCAAAACAGTCTATACTGATAAATAGCACTACAGGTAAAAGGAAAAATATGTATTTTTGAATATGGGGTGAACTGTCTCTTTTTGCTCTATTCATGTCTCCGTGCTGGCAATAGCTGTGGCCAGAGGCATTATGTTTTTGAGTATCCATCCATATGTTTGTACGTCTGTATGTCAGTCTGTCCATCCCATTCTTATTATCGCGATACCACAATAATGCACTGAGGAAATGTCTTCAAATTTGGCACAAACATCCACTTTGACTCAGTAATAAACTGATTGAAATTTGGTAGTTGAAGGACAAGGTCACTGTGACCTTGTGTCTGTCTCATTCTCGTGAACGAAATATCTCAAGAAGGCCTTGGGGAAGTTTCCTCAAATTTGGCACAAATGTCCACTTGGGCATGTTTTGCGTAAAACTCTTTTCTGGCCATTACTCAACATCATATCTCAGGAACAGAAAGGGAGACATTTGGTCAGATACTGAATTGGTAACTCTAATCTTGGTTGTCAGCTTGAAACTATGCTGATGGTATAGATCTTGTGTGCTGTCGGGGGGAAGATGTGTGAAGCATCCATGTTTTCATAGACTTAACTGCAGCTTCACGGAGGCATACAACTGCGAGACTGTCATTCTAGTTTACTCTGACCAAAAACCTAAAGGTTAGGGCTTACACACTTTTAGAATATAGAATATATGAACTTGGCCCCAGGTATAGATTTATTTTTATGCTGTTGTGCCTGTAAAATCCCATGTTAAGCTACTTTTCCATAATTTTGCACTTGTGTCATCTGCCTTTTCCCTGCTTCCTGCTCTTGCTCCGCCTATCAGGGACATCCCCATGCCGCTGGTGAGCTCCGGAGTGGAACATGGCAACCTGAGAGAGTTGGCACTGGCCCGGATGAAAGACATGGGCACTGAGGTGAGACTCTCCTATTAGACTCAAAGACACCGTGTCAGCTTCTTTTGAATGAAGAAGCTAATCGACTCATCCAGCTGGGATGTGATCCAAACAGGTACCACAAAAGTTTGCAGGGCGCGGCTGCCAACAGACAAATGCTGACTGACTGTCAGAATAATTTGCATACGTTGCTATAATAGAGAAAGATGACAGATTAAAAATCTGTCAAGTATAGTTTAGAAGTGTTGGAGCGTAGAATTGGAGCACCCTCTCTTTCACGCCCTCCACACATTTATTGAATTTATGTTGGAAGGTAGATGACAACAGCTGAAGTTCATCCAGCCTGACAACACCAGGGGAGGGGGCACCTAACCAACCAGCACAACACATGAAGCAGAAGACCCCTCACCAACTTCCATCAAAAAACACTCGGGATAAAAAGACTCATCCAAACTGTTCATCAGAAAACACCTATGGGGTAAAGAGCTGGGCTGAGGCTGGTATTGACTCTCAGGCTGAAATCAGTGGCAGCTTCTGCGACTTCCCACCAGCCCCACTCGGAAAACATTTTGCCTGGTTCTGCTTTGTCCTCAGTACCTTTTGTTTATTCATTATAAAAGACAACATTCAGAATCAATTGTAAAATCTGTTTTTACCACCTTAGCCTTTGTTTTTAGATATGTGTTTTTTATTTTGTAAGAACATAGCATGAATATGAACAAAAACGAAAAAGAAAAGAACACTAATGGGCAGAGCACATCCTGGAAAACATCAATAACCACAGTCATAATTAAATTAAATACTGAGCAGTTTTCCTTTTAAAAAGTACTAAGGTTTATATACAAAGCAATTTTTTTTAAAAATAAAGAAAAAATAAGTATACACAGTAAGGTTTTGTACATTAGAAACAAAACAGTAGTTTTTACCATGAAAACGTTTTTTTGTATAGGCACCCGGATCTTATCAAACACATCTCCTTTATCTTCATTATAAAATCTCAGCCTCTCCAGTATAAATGTGTTTGCCATACAGTGTCCCAGGAATTAATCCTAAAACCCAGGAATGAGTTAAGTTTTTAGCACTTCTGGTTCCCTTGTCTTGAAGTCATTGGGTTTTTTGAATAGGTTTTTAGTAGGCGTGTAAATCATTAGTTTCATCATGATACAATATTATATCGATTCGTCGGACAACGATAAAATATTTTCTGATATTATGAAGTCTGTCATGATACAGTTTTGATTCGATGCGATTTAGGGGCATGTGACTGATATGAAACAATATCATATGATCATTTGATGTTAACTGTTACAGCAGAAGCTGCCACTCTTTTTTTCTTTTGTCCATAAAATATTTTCAGATTTATATTCCAGCCTTTTTGTGTAAAAATTGAAATTGATGTAAACATTAGATTCTTCGGGACGTCCCAACATTTTTAGTTTCTGAACTGGTTTGACCCATTTAAGTGTTTCTGTGTGTACAGTGTCGAGATGTGAGAACACGAGAAGTGGGCATTCAGGAGATCCACCACAAAGTCAGACCTTACCAGGTAATGGACAGCATCCTGAAAGTGCATTTTCATTTACAGAGTCAGAGATCAATGAAATCAATGAAACGTATTTTTCTATCCAAAAAAAAGTTTCTATTTACCAATGGAGTGTTTTTTGTACAACTTTAACAAAGCAGAGTGTGTGTTCAGGTGGAGCTGGTGCGGAGGGATTATGTGGCCAACGGTGGCTGGGAGACCTTCCTCTCCTATGAGGATCCTGAGCAGGACATCCTGATTGGCCTGTTGCGTCTGCGTCGCTGCTCCCCGCAGTCCTTCCGTGCGGAGCTGAAAGGAGGAGTGTCCATCGTCCGTGAGCTGCACGTTTACGGCAGTGTTGTCCCCGTCAGCAGCCGAGACCCCAGCAAGTTCCAGCATCAGGTGGCTGCATTTTCACACATAGACTGTACATATAAAGTAGATACCCAAACACTTTGATGTCTTTTCCAGCTGTGAATCTGATTGTTTTTCTCTGACGCTGTAAGACATCAATCCTGGCCTGTATTTTCTTTGGCCCACATGAAGCCAGAAAAATTGCAGAGACTGAGATTAACCACAAAATAAGGCATACGTAGCTCAAAGTGTTTTGAAAAGTGACTGACTTTCTTTGTCTGTTCTTTTCCACTGCTTCCAGGGTTTTGGTATGATGCTGATGGAGGAGGCAGAGAGAATTGCCAGAGATGAGCATGGATCCAGCAAATTGGCTGTTATCTCGGGTAAGAAACAAAACAGCACAGGAGAGCATCATTCAACCTCTCGTTAGACACTGTTGTCTGGATGGTGGCACGATGTGAACACACAGCACCACAAATCTGCAGTCAAAGGCAGATGATGTGGGCCTTTTTTAGACAGTTAAATGTTCTGTGTGTTATTTTCAGAAAATGCTTGTCATTAGTGACACCAGTGCAGTCAGCATCCTGTTGCTTGTGCTCGCAGTCTATAGGCGCAAGCAAGCACCTCGGCACTCGCCAATAACAGTGACATGACACGATATTTATTCAGGGTATATGCAGGAATCCTGAGGTTAATTTCAATACCTTTCTAAGACTTTTTTAAGACCTTCCAAAAAAACCTTAAGACTTCATTGCCACTGCAAGCTGTCGTTAGCAGCAACGCATCTTTAACTTACTAAACAGTTGTAGTTTGCAATTATATCTATGGAGCACAAACATACAACATAACTCAGATAAGATGAGAAAGAAAGAATAAATTACACCAAAGGCAGGTTTATTAAAATACACCTTAGGTCATAACAAGTAACACAGCTCTACAGCTCAACATCAGCTATTCAAGGCCAACTTGCTGAAAACAACAATAACTTGGTGAAATTACAATAATACACCAACATCAAAACTTATGACATATGCCTCAGTTCGTGTGTTTTGCCTTCCCTCAACTTGCATTTCCCCATTTTTATTGTCTTTTGCTCCTCTGTTTGGCGCCTGGACGTGCGCCGTCGCTTGATGTCGCACAGGTACGTGCACGGCCCCGAGTGGCAGTCCGAGCGTGCCTACCTACACATCGTTGTTTGTAATAGTTGCAAGGAGGAAAATAAATTATACATTCATGGATACTTAATGTCAAAGCTTGAATGCCAAGAAAATTTAATACTTCATAAAATCGCGATTAAGACTTTTTAATACTTTTTAAGGGCCTTAATTTTCTGACATTTGATTTATCAACTTTTAATACTTTTTAAGACCCCGCGGACATCCTATTATTGTGATTGACCAATATTGTGTTAATAGAATGCTGGAAAACCAATTACAATTTTTGATTTTTGAATAACGTTACAATTTGGACCACTGGCTTTGTGATGCTAATGAGCCTGCTATTTGCAGTGTTGAGGCAAAACAGCCTATTAGTGTTAGTCACATTTTACTCATTTTTATTCTTCATAGTTTCAGTCTAGTTTAAGTCAACAAAACTTCATTGACATTTAAGTCTGCTTTCAGTCATTATGTTTTCTACATGTTTTTTTATTTTTTAAACTAATCCAGTGAGGCTAATTCATGTATCAGAACTTAGAATGAAAGTGACAGGTTATATGAAAATTTAATTTAAACAAGTTTTTCTACAACTACAAATAACTTGAGCCTGTCGCTCATGCGGCATTTGAAGATAATTGCAAGCACAGCCGACATTTTTGTCATGTTTTGTCTCATCACCAAAAATTAAAAACAAAGATTTCTTATTAGTTTTATTATCAAGGTCTATTTTTAGCTCATCATCGTCTTGTTATCGCTATGGTAAAAAAGTCGTTGAAGAAAAATTTTCGTCATAGTTTCATTAACGAAATAAACAATGAGGTACATGCTGTGTAACATTAGCCTAGTTATTGCTAGCTGGCTAACCTTGGCTAATGTTTTTTTTTTTTTTTAAGATTACTTTTGTGGGCTTTTGCCTTTAATGACAGGAGTGAAATGGGAGAGAGAGAGAGTGGGGACTGACGTGCAGCAAAGGGCCCGCGAGTCGGATTCGAACCCGCGGCCGCTGCAGCAAGGCAATGCCTCTGTACATGGCTTGCTGGCACTATCCACTACGCTACCGACACCCCAACCTTGGCTAATGTTACGGTTAGCTTGTTGGCCACCCCCGCCTTGCATCATTCTTGGCTAGTAAAAAGCAATCATTATACAATTTTGCTTTGTACTGTTGGATCATGTTTTGTTGGCCATATCAATACCATTATTTATTGTACTATAATACATAAGTTGGTATCATGGATAACGTTAGATAGTGAAGTAATTTGGCAATTAGCTAGCTAACGAACATATCCACTCAGATAGCATTAGCGAGCAAGCAAGCTAAGGTTTGTCAGCTAGCTGTCACTAAGCTACACTGGATCTGTGTTGGCTCCATAGTGACATTAGCTGATAAAGTCATTTTCAGAGGGAAAGCAGCTAGCCATTAGACCAGTTTTCAGTGGAAGTCATAGTTCTGTCACAGCAGTTGCCCACGCATACTGATGGCAGAAATCAGCGGACACCGGAGAGAAACAGTTAAGATACCAGGAATAAAAGTGCCTTTATTGTGCCGCTGGATGTCAGAACAGGAATACAAAAAAAGATTATAGCTGCAACGCAGCAATGGTTGGGGCCGGGCAGTTTTAGGCAAATTTAGGCAATTCTGAGCAACAAGAGGCAGAATAGGAAGACAACAAGAAAGTTGCCATTGCAATGTACATTTTGCTTCAGTTGAGGTTTGAACTTACAAGCTCTGACACCGAGGAGCATCTTCTATCTGACTGAGCTAATTAGCAAGTGACAACTCATCTGTGGCTTCACAAATTGACTAAGTCAGCCACCAGGATGACAGCAGCTGTCAAGGCAGATTTCAGACTGCTGTCATAAATTCAGTTATCAAGACAAAAATCTTCACTTGTCAGTGGTCCAATGTTTTCACAACGAAAAGAAATTATAAAGAACACTAAAATTATGTATAACAAAGCTTTCATACAGCTTTGCACACACATTACTCTTGGGTGGATTCCAGAGAGTCTCCCCTCTTCATATAGCAGATTATACAACAGTTAGTTCCAACTGAGTAATTTGATTGGACGAGAGGCATTCCATGAGTGCTGATATAAAGTACAACATCACTGGGAAATGTAACAGTAAAATCACTCCGCTCACAGGTGTTATAAATATAAATACAACCATTAATTAACCAGCTGTCACACTCGCTACATTGACGCAAACTGACACTAGCGTTACACCAAGAAGATGGATATTTTCCCCAAAATTACATTTGAATTAAATTATGAGAGGGCAAGGAAAAGGAAAGCCAGGACTCTTCTGTGCAGACCTCCAGGTGTGTTTGTGTAACATCAGCCGCCCTTGACAAACTGGAGAGGAGCAAAAATGAAGCAAACACGGTCAGGCAAACAGGATGTGCTGATGAGGATGAGGGAGAGTGGAAGCTGAATCCGGCCGTGCCAACATCCAGGTTTGCCAATGTTTCATCAGCCGAACTGGACGAAGTTACACAGTTGCAGATCAATGTAAATACAAAGCAGCTTGTGAGTTCCTGGTGTGTGTGCTGCGTTGCCTGGCAACAGACCGGGGGAACTGTTTTTTTTTTCGTGGAGCTACATAACATACTTAAATCATTTATTTCATCACCTTTTGTTAACATTTCCTTACTCAGCATTGCTGTGTAAGCTGTTGTTGACCTGTTGTATAAACGCAATATCACACGAGAGGGAGTGATGTTGTACTGTATATTGTCACGGCTGTAATTGTCTTTGGCCGAATCACAGCCGAGACGATATACAGTAACATCATTCCCTCTTGTGTGATATTGCTTAAATATGTCTACTTCCAACTTGCTATGGTGACATACATGTAAAAATGTGAGAATTTAGTCATACTGATTGTTTTTTCTTTTTCATCTAGGCTATAAAAAAATTAATATAAGATACAGGCACATAGAAGGATATGTAATAATGGCAAATCTGGATATCCCGGATTGTCCTGAAAAAAACAAGATATAGCATGTGTATGTAGCCTTTATAATGACTGTGATATGACCTTAAAAGTAAAGGCAGTAAAAATACCCCAAAAAAGGCCTAGGGCCCAACAACGTTTCAACTAGCTAGCTAACGCTGTCTGCCTATTAACTCCTTGATCATAACAGAATATAGTAACTTTCACCACTTCTCATTTTAGAAAGAACACCACAAGAAAATATGATCCTTGTGTAGATTATGAAACGGACAATGGATCACAGATTTTTTGTTTCTAGCTGTCAATGATCAGCTATAGCTAGTGCGCTAGCTACATTAGCTACATCGCTAATGTTAGTGAGTCTTTAATTTTCCCTGCCTGGATGCAGATGGGAACCGATCCAATCACACATGGGCTATACGTTAACATAAACAAAGTGCACGTTTTCTCGTAGTGGCCTTTCTAAAGTAAACAGTGTAGAAGGTAATATACTTTGTTATGATCAAGGTGTTAGAAAACAGCATTAGCTAGCATGCTAGCAAGTTGACAAGTTGTACTTTGTCCGCAACTATTGATGGCAGCAGTATTAGAACTCTTAATCAAGGACAATACGTCAAATCCATGCTTGACAAATGTGAGTTTTTACAATTCTCATGATGATTTATCTTTCACCACATAAATAATTCGGCCTAATACATATTCCTCTACTGAGCATCCAGCAGTGATTATAGCCTAAATATTGAGATTCTAATTCACTGCAAATAGTCATTTTTTTTCCTTTACTAGATAGATACAGATAGATCATAAACTCATGGATATAAAAACTACTCACTGTAATCGGTTGAGAAATAAACATTATAGTGCTTTTCACATTTTATTTGGCACTCAAACTGACACCACTATAGTCCCTTTCTGCTACCAGTTTGGTCTGCCCAATAAAAACATAATATCTGTTTACAAACACAAAAAAAGGTCTTTATACTAGCAGATCAGCCACTGGAATCTGGATTAATTAGATGCATTATCCACTCAAGGATTTTGACACATTAGCTAGCTAACAATTTGTCTGTGTTGGCAAGGAAAAAATAGCTAATATTAGCCAGCTAAAACTGCAATATATTTTACATGTCACTGTATCCTGTAGGATACTTTTTACCTCTGAGAGCACTGGTGAGCACTGAATTTTTGATATGGGGGTTTTAATTTGATGGATTATTGTTTATCAGACCACAACTGGGCCCTGCCTCACTCCCACCCCGAGGACACTGCTTTGCCAGGTGGAGAGCGGACGGCAGCTTTGGAGATAGACCTTTGCCACAGTAACAACTCAAATTCAGCCTGCGCACAACCCAGTGCCAGGGGTCACAGCACACTGGTGGCCAGCCACAGTGGAGGGTCTAACCTGTGTAAGGGCAGCAACAGAAAGTTTGCTGATCTGGCAGGTAGTCTGGGTGGACCAGCATCAGAGTCAGACCCCCAGAGCTAATTGAATTCGAGTTTCCGCTGGGGTTGACGCCCCTCTCCAGAGCTGCCATCAGCTTTCCTTTCAGCGAAAGCAGCTAAGACTTCATGTCTTAGCTAATGTTAGCTAGTGTTGCACACTGAGCAGCATTGAAGATAGGCAAGGCACTCACATAATGTCACATCCTTTGGATTTTCCCAGAAAATTTGTCCCAAATCCTTTGCATAGAAATCAGTCCACACGCTGTTATAGGCAGCTGAAAAAGTCAGGGAAGGTCTCATTTTTAAGTCACATTAAATTCGTTCACCCATTGGCATTAAAATGGTATATAAAGTTAATTACAGTACATTTAATTAGAGCAATGATGGTGAAAGCAAATAATAATAAAATAACAAACTTGTTATTTGGTAAATCTTTTATATGATGTCATCAATATAATGCTTGCGTGTAAATATTCTGAGGTCACATGATACAGCAGCATAATGCATTTCAAAAATAAAACATGAAACACCACTTTTGCTAAAATAAGTTTGAAAGAAGGCTGTGAAGCGGAGGATTGATGAGCTCTTGTAATGGGACGTCTCCCGCATAAACCAGCAGAGTACCAAGTTGGAACAGACCTGTTTGATGTGTGTTGAGGTGTGTGTGGTTATGTTGTAGCAGCCTGGTGTCATTTGCATGTGATTTAATAAAGGAAAACACAGTGGGCGGCCGCACTTAATGGCACTGCGCTCTGGTGCAGCACATCTCCAATCAGAGGTTGCAGATTTGTTAACATATGTCCCGCTGCTTCAGATGGTTGCAGGGATTTAATGAACTGAGGGACAAGCTTGTCTTTCAGTATGAATCAGCTTTGGATGACAGATACTTTAAGAATCACTCATATTCCAGCTTGTTCTTCTTCCCAAGTTGTCATATACCACTGCTTCGTCAGTGATCTCAGCATCGGATACCGACGCACAGAGGCACCCTTCGTGGTGGTATTGTACGCAGTGGGCAGCAGCAGTTGTTGATGGAGCGAGCAACAACGGAACTTGTCAAATACTGCCGCTTGGTATTTAGACATCCTCGTGAGACACTGATGCACACTGACATTTTATGCACATTGAAAGTTTATTTTGAAAAAGGCTATAATGTAACGAGCAGAAACTGTTCATATTAGGGATTCAAGATACTGTTGTTTTTTTTTTTTTTTTTTGCCGATATCCAATATGCCAGTATATAACAACTTATTTGGTTGATAACTGATACCAATATCGATATATCCAATTTTTTCCCCATTTTATTTTTGCGATCATCAAGTCTTTTCTGTCGTGGAATTACCCTCATACTATGCATGCATACTTATTATCATGATGGCCCACCAGCAGACGGAGACATGAAATACAATGCTTTTCAGTGTATGTAATACTCATTTATTGTGCAAATTAAGGAAAAGCATGTGCACTGATTCTGATAGTTCGTTTTAAAGCTGAAATTGATTGATGCAGATGACGTACCATATTACCAGCATGTTGGCCGATTCTAATATTAAATTTTAAAGCAAATATCCGCCAGTTTCGATGATGTTCCAATATTATCGTGCATCCTTAGTACATATCCTGTGAAAACGGAAGTGTCTGAAAAGACACAGCGTATGTAACAAGTGTAAAGTGACACGCTGTCCCAGAATGTGTTTATTTATGGATCAATGAAGTGCATTAAACATTAATTTTTGATGCCTATTTAAATACATATAATGGCTAGAGAGTGACTGATTAAAAAGTTTAAGCAGTGTGTATTTGTTGAAGTGTTTACGTTGCTCACCAAATTGGGAGCAGAGTGACATTGTGTCAGAAACAGACATGGATTTGGTTATTAAAGAATTGTGGCCACAGTATGTCATGAGTGAAATATTAACAGCTGAAGTGACTCTGTTTCTAAATTACTAAATTAAACATAAACCATTTCTTGTGACTTACCAACTGAAATATACATGAATACAAATTTATCTGTAGTAAGCTAAAATTGGCTGATAATAATAATTGGCTTAAGTTTTCACCAATTGAGCACAGCATTAGTTCAGGCAGGACACGATGTCAAGCTCAGCTCACATTCCAGCTACATCAGCTGATCTCAAGCAGCCCAATCAACTGATGGATCAGCTGATTGATAGAAGGTACTGAGCTGATAGATCACATGATTCCTTTCTATGAGTACGTCCCAAGTCCCTTAAAATTACTGCTAACCACCTTACCTAGCCATCTTATCTAACTGTTTAGTCCCTCCCACTTAGGAAAACATTTAAGGAGTCAGGAGTTAGGAGTGAGGAGCGAGGATTGCTGATTAAGAGACATGAGACGGCCTTACTCTGAAGCGTCACGTTAAGCATCGTCCTTTTCTGATGACGGCGCGACAGCTGGATCTGCTGCATGCTTTATGGAGCCAGCGTTTGGCATACATCCCAAGTTCAAAGCCATAATAAGAGAATAAGAGACATGAGACGGCCTTAAAGATGGCAGACCTCGAACGACTTCCGGTTCAAGTAAGGAGTTAGGAGTTAGCAGTATAAAATAAGGGACTTGGGACGTACCCTATGCAACCACTTGGCAAATCTCATTCAGGGCTATTCATGGCCCCCCCTTGACGGCGCCACTGGCTGCGCACATGTGAGTTGTCAATGGTGACAAAGTGTGTCTGCTTTGTTGAGTGTACCAAGTGCAGCACGATGCAGGTACATGACAGCAAAAAGACGGGGACCTCGACACTTAAGAGGCACATGACGAAGGCTTGCCATGGAAAGAAAGACGAGTGTCAGCCTTCAATGTCCACATTCGTATTCCTTAAAAAAATGTCGGGTTTAAACCGGGCCTGGGCTCATAATTACAGTTAAAGGGATAGTTCGACATTTTGGCAAATTCGCTATTGCCGTAATCCCTATAGTCATATGAATAGGTACATTACCTTTAATTGTCAGTGCGGGCTGTTCTGAGATCAGTGGGGCAGAGCTGCCCGCTGAAATGGAGGTGAATGGTACAGGTCCCTCTCTCCCTCAAAACTAATCAAATACACCATCAAATGACTCCAAAACACTCTTGTGGACAACTTGTAGCTTACACATTCACCACGCTATGAAATAATAATGTAATATTACGAGACAGAGTTGTTTTGAAGCCAAATGCAGAGCCGGAACTACATTCCAGACATACAGTACTTGCTGGGCGGAGTGATTTCAAACAGCGTATGTTTAGTGCAGTTACTCCCGTCATCAAAACAACAAGTGTGTTGAGAAGAAGCCAGAATATACAGAGGAAGAGTTACAGGTTTTGGAAGAAGAGAGAGCAAGAAGAGAGGTTGAGGCTGCCGAGCAACCAGGGGCTGAGGGGAGACCCAGAGCCGGTGGTGTAAATGTGGGGCTTACTGGCCACTTTATTAGGTACACCTGTGCAATATAAATATAGAGTAACTTACGCCTCAAAATAATCACCGGAACACGGGGAGAACATGCTAACTCCACACTCATAAATCACCACAACTCCTGAGGGAACAACAACATAAAATGTTCCCTAGCAGTCTGTTTATTCCCAACAATGAGAAGTAATGCCAGTCACTTCACTATATGCTCTGGGCAAGCACTTATCCATAACATAACCACAACAACATTTGCATTTCAGCCTTATTTACCATGCTTGGGTTGTAGGCTAATGTTACTCAACATGGAGTTAACGTTACAGCGGAGAGATTACTGAGCAAATACACAACGATCACTTACCATGTCTGCTCGTTTTGTGATGCCGACAGATGGTATGGCAGTGTCTCTCAAGAAAAGCGCTTGAACCATTCCTGAGCTTCTGCGCTCCATCCTTTCACTGTAGTCCTCCGGTAAAAAATGGCAGGAGCACACAAGCATTTTCTGGACCGTTTCCATAGGCGTGTTGGGGTCGATGTCCAGCACAAATAGCCATTGTTTCATCCTGTCCGTATTACTGGTTGGAACTATATGAAACTTCACTTTGCTCCACGTCTTCGGCTTGTTACCGCAACCTTTTACAATACATGTGTAAACCATGATTTACAAAAACACTTGTAAACTTTCCTCAAACCTTCTGGTGTGTCCAGCTGACGATACCGCGAATGGATACAAGCAATAACTACGGCACTGTCTCAGCTGCGCACTGTGTCACTCTGCCCAGTGGTTTACTCAAGAAAGTAGTTCCGAGTATTTGCTTCATGTGTCGTAATGTTACTTTATTATACATTATTATTTCATAGCGTGGGGAATGCGCAAGCCATGTGTTGTCCACTAGAGTGTTTTGGAGTCATTTGATGGTGCATTTGATTAGTTTTGAGGGAGAGAGGGACCTGTACCGTTCACCTCCATTTCAGCGGGCATCTCTGTCCCACCGATCTCATTACAGCACTCACTGACAATTAAAGGTAATGTTCCTACTCATATTACTATAGGGATTACGGCAATAGGCGAATTTGCCAAAATGTTGGCTCGGCTTAGACAGAACTTGCATGGGCTTAGGTGGGGTCGGGATGGATTTTGTGGGCCCGATCTAAGCTCTACTGAAGGATAATTAACACATCATGTAAAGCAGTAGTGTTGTATCTTTTTATTTGTGTAGTTCTCCAGTACTGATTAACTTCTTGTCTTCTTTGTGTGTTTTACAGGTGTAGGAACAAGGAACTACTACAGAAAGATGGGCTATGAACTGGAGGGACCATATATGGTGAAGCATCTGTATGGACCTGGAATGGACTGAAGCTGGACAATGTTTTTTATCTGGACAGCGGATACAGACGCGCGCACACACACACACACACACACACACACACACATTATTGTATTTATTAAGATGATATTTTCGGGACATGATTGGTGCAGTATGTGTAGTGAAACTGTTTTCTTAGCATCAGAGGAGATAATGGTTGAGTTTTTCTGCCCATTCCTGCTTCTTATCTGCTCCACACCAGGGAACACTGCTGCATCTCCTCCACTTTCTATAGATAGGGAGACGAGGAGGAGGAGAGGGTGTGAGGAATAAAAGTTATTTGAGATGAAGCCAGAGCATCTTGTGAATTTAAGATGCAAACATTCTTTACTGCTACAGCAAAAGAACTGAACTGGTACTAAAAACACACAAACAATAGCATGTTGGTATTTTTAGCTTTCCACACTGAAGCAAATTTGTACCACCAGTGCCTTGTCAATGAACTCTGTTTGAGCCAGCGGCACTGATTCCAGGAACTAAGAACAATCCCGCTGAGACCTTTTAGTTCTGCTCAGATGTTCCATGTGTCTGGTAAAGAAACATCTGAATGTCTGGATATCCCTTAAATAGTTTGTGTGTGTTGTTGAGGATTAGAAACCTGTTCAGCGCCATGCTTTGAGTTAATCATGTTTATGTTGCAATTAAATAGAAAACCCATTATGAGTCAAGCGTTCATTACTGCTTGGCAGTGGATGAATGAACTGTGGGAAGTGTCCTTGCTGGGCAGCTGTCATGTAATTGCACAATTTTGATTTACAGGGCAGGAAATTGAATATTAGCATTACATAAATTGCTTTTTAAAGCCCCTCAGTTAATCCTGTTTCTTGTTTTTCTGTCATGCATTCTTGGGCTTCATGTGTATTCTGGTATATTCCAGATGCTGAACACGTCACTTGACCAGTAAAGTATATTTCAGTTACTGTTAGTGTCCTGTTTTGTGAGAGAAGTCCTTGATGATGCAGAAATCTTTGCAGACATTTTAATAATTACACCTAAATGACAGAATAACTGAAAAGGTTTTAGCATCCCGATAAAGGTCACATCGTCAGAGTGGCTCCTGAAATGTAGCCCCCAATGTCAAAGGTGCCAGCCCCTGCAGCAGACCCCTGATGATTGCCCTATGAGAGTGTTTTACTGGCTCATTTGACACAGCCTTTCCAATTACATCTCCATCAGTAACCTGTCTATTGAACATTGACTGAATGCTGTGTTCAGCCATACTGTTACTGGAAAGGCTTTGTCATTTGAAAAATATCAAGCAATAAAGCACAAAGGGCTCATGCAGCTACCTATGTCTCATATAGATTCCAACTGCACGGGGCGACTGAAGCTGAACGGCCATGCGTAATTTCCTGGATGCGGCCCCCGTGTCGTGACTGGGCTCTGCTGTATGTTGCTGTTGCAGTCCTGACGCATTGAGGAATAGGCCACATTCGGGCTTTCTCTCTACGCTTGCTCACTCCTGCTATCAGCTGTGAAATGTGAAAATACCCCCCCACCCCTCGCTCAGTCTCGCTGAGTCTGTGCAGAGCTGATTTGTGCTGTAGAGGAGGCAGTGTGCTCTAATCTTCACTGCAACATGAGCAGAAGGATAGCAGGTTCACTTAAACTCCACTCAAGTGAAGGTTACAGGACAGGTCTACAAAAAAAACCAGAGGAAAAGAAGAGAAGGGGATCTATGTGTGTTGATGCTGAACATATTCTACTCCCTAAATGTATGCATTATCTGATTTCAATTCATTGTTGTGGATACTGTGACTCAGCATCACTCCAGTTTACACTACCTAAGAGGGCTTGATGGTAATGGTTGCCATTGGCAACCAGTTCTTGGCCTTTGGTTGCCATCAGTGACATCCACCTTTTAACATATAATGGCATGCAAAAATGTGGGCACTCTTGGACAAAATTTTGTTTATTGTGAATAGTTACTTGAGTAGAAGATTAACTGAGTTGAAACATGCTTTTCAACATTGGCTGGCTGTTCCAACAATGGAACAGCCATCGGTAGCAAGTTGAGGTTCAGTATCTTACTCAAGGATACTTTGACATGTAGACAGGAGGAGCTGGGGATCGAACCACTGATCTTCCGATTCTACCCCTGAGCCACAGCGGCCATAGCAAAGTGTTTGCAGGTAGCTGTTTCCTCAGTTCATAATGTAATTAAGAAATGGCAGTTAACAGGAACTGTGGAGGTCAAGTTGAGGTCTGGCAGACCAAGAAAACTTTCTGAGAGAGCTGCTTTTAGGATTGTTAGAAAGGCAAATCAAAACCCTTATTTAACTGCAAAAAAAGACCTGCAGAAAGATTTAGCAGACTCTGGAGTGGTGGCGCACTCTTCTACTGTGCAGAGACACCTGTACAAATATGACCTCCAACTGCAACGGGGGTGGATCGATCATGCTGTGTTGCAGCCAGTGACACGGGGAGCATTTCACAGGTAGAGGGAAGAATGGATTCAATTAAATTCCAGCAAATTCTGGAAGCAAACATCACGCCATCTATAAAAAAGCTGAAGATGAAGAGAGGGTGGCTTTTACAACAGGACAATGATCCTAAACACACCTTAAAATTCACAATGGACTACCTCAAGAGGCACAAGCTGAAGGTTTGCCATGGCCCTCACAGTCCCCAGACCTAAACATCATTAAAAATCTGTGAATAGACCTCAAAAGAGCAGTGCATGCAAGACGGCCCAAGAATCTCACAGAGCTAGACGCCTTTTGCAGGGAGAATGGGTGAAAAAGGTGGATACAAAAAGTGTTTAGAAGTTGTGATACCTGCCAAGAGAGGTGCTACTAAGTACCGACCACATGGGGTGTCCAAACTTTTGCTTCAGGCCCTTTTCCTTTTGAAACTGTAAAAGATTAAAATTAAAAAAGTATTATCTTATAAATGCACTTTTATAACAAACAAAGGCTGCACAAGTTGTTCCCAATCTTTTATATTGACACCAAGAGGGCAGAGCTTCACACCCAATACTGACAGGAGGAATAATTAAAGGTATTCTTAAAATGCACATATGGGTATGGAAGTATCGTATTGAGACAGACCTGAAAAAATAACATTTTGCCAACATAGTTGTAAAACATTCAATCCAAAACTCAATTCCTCTAAACTCTGTTGAGCAGTATGGAGGTCAAAGGTCATCTAAGGGAGCTATTAGTTGGCCAGCAGAGCGTGAGGAGTCACTCTCACCAGTGACAATCAAATCTTTCAAAGACAACCACACTGAGCTGGGAGCGGTGAGGTTAGGTGAACAAGCCTCTCTAGCTCAAATCTTTACTTGTCCTTCTGATGGCCACATCACAAGACACTGCTGAGCTGAGAGTCTTATCACAGGGACAGTGATGAACAAAGGTGGTAGGATGATGATCGTTCCTTTTATGCTAATGCTGCATTAATTGTGTTATTCTAAAGGCCTGTTTGTGGGCCATTATTCTCACTTAAGCAAAACTGCAAAGTTTTACAATATCAGCTTTATTAAAAAACATTACATTTAAAAAAGGGTTCAGAACAGTGTTATGTTACATATTTTTTCAAGCATGTGGGCAAAAAACTTATGAAATAAGTAGCCATCTAAGATATGGACTGTCAATGACTAAGACTGATGACCAGTAATAAATGCTGTGGACTTGGTATGGATACGATCTGCAACCTTCCTAATGGCTGCCTTTAATTTCCTGTTCATGAGGGGATGGTATATACGTGATCGTTAGTCACTGTTAGCCTCATACAGCGAGCCCGTTTAGTTTTCAGTGCAGATATCACAAAACAATGTTCACGCAGTCACAGACAGTAGTTTGACTTAACTTTCAAAATGCTCTATGCTTTAAAAAAATCATCATTCAAAATGTGACTGATTCAAAACACAACAGTGAAATTGTGAGGAAAAAACATTTTAAAATAAACGCTTATAGAAAAAAACAAACATTTTCAAGTCATTTAAATTTGCATATAAAGATTCAACTTTAAAAAAACAACATTGTTTAAATACCAATTCATGGCACATTTTAAAGCTGTACTCCACCTTATTAACACATAATTAGGCTTGGGTGGTATCTTTTTTTCATACCTTAAACCTTTCTTACATTTCAGGGGAATGTACAGTATATGATGGTGTTTGTGTGCAGCACTAAGATGATATAAAGTCACTAAAGAACTGAACTGAAATGAACTGAAAAAGCAATTGATTATGTTATTCTAGTAGTCTACCAAAAGTTTAATTTGTTTTTGTAATAATAATTTATGTAAGAAAAAAATCAATACTCATCTCTGTAATGATGTGAAATTGCCACACAAAAATATTGTGATACTATGCTGTATAGGTTTCCCAGCAACCTTTATATAATATAAAGACAAGCATCTGTATTTTTACTGTATTAAAATCAAACCTTCAGGATTTCTACCAATACCCTGCTGTACTGTAATACCGTGATACCACCCAAGCCTACATTTATTTTAAAAACACCAAAAACTACAACCGACAAAATGACCATAGCATTGAATCTGCCCCAGTTCCTCACACAATGTCAACAACAGTTATGACTAGTGTCACAAAGGTAGTATTTATTATTACCATACTACTGCACTGGAATGCATAAAATGTTTCTATTGTTTAATCACTTACTTTACAGATCTGAGATGTGGAAGCCCAGTGAACATGCTACATCAACGTGTGGTGGAAATATTTGGTTAAGAAAATAATCACTAAATAATAAAGCTACATTTCTCAACAAATAAAAAGATCAATGTTAACATAATCAGTCAAAATTTACACCCAGTAGGAAGTTGTGATAATGAGTCAACAGAATAGTGCAGACCCAGAAAAGCAGCAACAGCAGCAATCCCTGACATTTCATTTCAGCCATATGTACACACTAAAATTGATTTTCTGTGTGAAGCATCAGAGGCCTAACCAACAGCATGGCACTTACATCAAATACAGCCTGAGTACATCGCACTCGATCTTTATATGGACTTGTCTGAATATAATTGTGTTTGGTCTGCAGTACAGCCAGGCTTCAATATTCCTTTATGTCCCTGTGATCCCTTTATGTTGCTTCCTACAGCTCAGCTTCTGTCTCAGTGACAAGAAAAGCACCTTCAGTCCTATATAATCATACACATTTCTGATCCCCACTTTTCTGTGGCAGTAAAGTGGTTATTTCTTACACATGTAGGAAGCACTGCAGTCAGGGGGTCCACTTTCAATATTTCCATGTAGTGGCTGTGGTGGTTATAGCCATTATGGTCTCTTAAGTGCACTTTGTCAGTGGGAGTCCTCTTTCAGAGCAGAGCACACTCTGGCCTCCAGCTGGTGTGCTGGAGGCCGAGTGTCCGGGTTTGAGGCGAGCATGTCTAAAAGCAGGGTGCACATTGCTGGACCTGGAGGGGGTGGCAGCGGGGGAGCTCTCTTAAACTTCATAGGGATACACAGCTGGAGGTCAGCATTCTCCCACAAGGCTTCCCCCAGCGGCATCAGCCAGCCTGAGCGACCCTTAGACACATAAGCACCTAAAAAGGAAACACAAGGGGAGACACTGTTAAGTCATCATGCAAGACGCTCTGGGCTGACAGCAGTAACACGCTGCAGGGAGCCTCTTCATGTCAGTGATTGTGGGCCACACTTGGATTTGCAAGTAGTCAAGTGCCTGCTGATGTGACATATTTCTAGGAACTGCAGACAGAGCCAAAGTGCCCTTAAGACTACAATTGTGTGGAAGATTCTGAGAACACACGGGACACTCAAGCTCAGAATGCAGTGTTATTGAAAGTTCTGAATATGATGTTCAGGACCTTAATATAGCAGCAAACCACTATTTGCAATGTAAAGATATAGCTGAGTAATGGCGTCCTGAGCAGAGAATGAAGTCAAGCTCCCTCTGTGTCGTAATCTGAGCTTTCCTGTGGTAAGCCTTTT